AGTGACTCGCAGGCAGAGACACAATGGCAAGTTTTACAATCTGCAATGGTATTCAGCTCCTCACAACCCAAGGTTCAGAGTCAATGGAGGCAGATGGACTTTGTACTATTTTAACACAGGCAGCAGAAGCTGCAAAATGATGCTGTCAGCATAGGAGTGCCACCTTGAGAAGCATGGGAGTGATAGGAGATCCTTGTTTTCTCTTGATCAAAAGTACCTCAGCTTGGGACTGCTACTGTGCTGAGGTCATTCCACCAGCACTGGCACAAGGTGTTTTATCCCAGGCTCCCGGATCCTGAACAAACAGAAAACAAGATGGATCAAGGGCATGGAAGGGGGTACTGTCTGAGTCTGGCCTCGGCAAAGCTCTGTCAGCAAGCAAAACTGCGCAGGATGCCGAGTTCCCAACTCCCACATCCCAATACTTTCATCAGACACAAATCCTCAAGGGTTGCCAAACCATCCATCATATACTGGTGGCTGCCCTCCTGGGTTATTTGGTCAGACTGCTAAAGCTTCAGTGGGAGACAGCAGGAAGAGATCCCATCAGGGATTAATGCAGAGCCTGTCTGAAGTCAGCTTGCTTGGCAAAAACACAAGGGAGGCTGTACTCAGTAGTTGCCCCTCAGCTCTGGAGCTCCACCCGCCCCTTGTGGCCCACCAGAACCCAAGCCTGGACATCTTCCAGAAGTGCTGTAAGACCTTCCTATCTGGTCAGCCATTCAGCAGACCAGGCTAAGCTGAGATATTGTACAGTGCAGGAATGTCAAACATACAGCCCACAAGCTGAACCTGGCTTGCAGAGCTCCCAGAAGTGGGGCTTGCCACTGAATTCCCAATGGCACAACCCTGAAGGGCACACATCTAGGGAGGGGGAGCAAGCAATTCCTGCATTAACCCCCAGAGCACCACACTCACAGCTGCTGTCACTTGGCTCCCAAGTCTGCATCCAGCAGGGAGGAACCCCACAATCCAGATGCAGTCCAGGGGTGCAACAAGTTTGCACCCACCCCTGGTTGGGGAGTTGCTATATAGTTTAT